ATTACGTAGAAGCACTCCAAAGTCTAACGAACATAGGTGAAGCAAGAACTTATTTGGAGAATCAAATTTTGGTAGCACCTATGGATTATCCTGGGCAGCTTAATGTATGACATGCTGTTAACTACAGGATTAAGCTTGGAGATTCTTCTAGTGTACCGTGGCAAGTTCTTCATATTGTACTAATGATTGGGCCTCTACACGTATCCTTAAATAGTCGTGAATCTGTTTTTCTTTTTAATTATGATTTTTTTAACAAACTTTTCTATAATATTTATAGAAGCGGAAGGTTTTGGCTAAAAAGCCAAAACTTTACAAAATTAATCTTTTATTAGAAATAGCATCTAAAGGCTGGTTGCAAATTCATTTAACTATTCTACAGAAATTTGAGCGGTTGAAAGATCCTGAAGCCAGATATCTAATCAATCTTCTGGATAATTTTATTCTACTGGTCCTAGACTTCTATCCTGTTATATTTCGCAGTAGAATTTGGCCGGTTTATCGAGAAGCAATGTTTCGTATTTGGTGTATTTTTTATTAATACTAGTGAAAAAATTACAACAAGCTTCTACTAGCCTTTCTGAGCAATGTGTTTTATTGAAGTAGTATTAATCATCCTATTGCTCAGACACTTGCTAATTCTCTCCATGTATTTAACGATTATTATGTAGAAAATTTTCATAGTTCAATTCGACGTCGAGTCCAACCATCCAATACGGTGGATCAAATTATTCGAGAGGCACAGATAATTAATCTAATGCATAACAATAATACTTTTGTGGATAATTTTTCTAATAATTATAACATTATTTATTCAGCGAAGCAATTAGAGTATCTTGAAAAACGAACTGCTGTATTTTTGCTAAATCTTTTTACAAGTGTTTATAACAATGTAGGCCAATCGGTTGCAATGAACTCGAAATATAGATTTTCATCCCTCGGATATAGCATTGATATCAAGGCATTGCCAATGGGTTGGAACACCATGTATTCTCCACGAAATGATAAATACTGTGATCTGGAGGACTGTACAAGGACGGATGAGGTAGGATTTATACTTAATTGTAGACATGCTTATCATTTCGAATGTTTGTTGTTTAGGTTAGGTAGCCAGTGTAAGTATTGCAAGGATTATCTTATAAGTGGAATAGAGAGAAATTGTAAGGCTTTTGATGAAAGCGTAAACTCGACTGGAACGGCAGCAATAGTCGTAGACGAAGATAATTCGAACGTTCCTGAAGCAACAGAAACTACTATGAATACCAGTGCAGTTGAAGTTGATAATGTAGTTTTAAATAGTAATATAGATCAGTTATATAGTAATACTATGAATAATTTTAGAGCCGTGTTGTAATTTAAATAATTAATAAAATTTTATTTAATAAAAAATTTTTTTTCGTTGCCATTGTTATAAAACGTTCACAATTCTATTACTAATAATAATAAAAAAAAAAACAATAATAAATACAATTTAAATTATTATCCCTATGATTAATTTTTGTTTAAATGATTGTGATTGCAATCGCGATCGCAATCACAATCATTTAATCATGAAAAAATTAAGGAGAATTTACATATAAGGGCGTGAAAAATGAAAATAATTAAAAATAAAAGCCCAAAATAAAATAATTACATATAATGGCAAAAAAATATTACAATAAATTTATCATACATTGCAAATTTTTAGCATACAAAATTATATAAATAGTCTTTTGACATTTAAACGTATTACTTTAAATCAGTATTACATTTATTCTCTTAGCGGCTTTCATGTAAAAATTATAACCACTTTTGCTGATTTTTAAAAATAATTTAACTTCTCTATGAATAAAAAATGAGCTTCTTCAGTTCTAAATATCTCGCATAATAACCTTCACAAAATATTAAAGAAAGTTCATTAAGTGAAAGGTAAGTATAAATTGTATAAATCAATACATTATAAAGTTAGTTTGGCCCTTAATTGTAAAATTATGCAAACTGCAATAAAATTTTATTACTACTTCTCTATTTTAATTACAATATAAAAATTATAATCAATAATTCAAAGTTCTTGATCCTGATTGGATGAATTCCAACGTCACGGTATGAAATGATCTACAAAAATTGGCCAATCAGAACGAAAGCCCTCTATGCTGGTTAGGACATAGCCAATAATTTTGCACTTTCTCCTATGACATGCTTTTCTGTTTCAGAATACATGACATCGACAATAAGATTCAGCCAAGGTTTGTCCTAAAAATCAAAGGCAAATATGAGACCTATAGCTTTTAAATGTTCAAATCAGTGAAAGTGCATTTCCATCTCTCCTATTGGCAGAGTTACTAGATGATTTTCTGAGCTTCTTTTCCAAAGTTACCACTACAAGTCCCTTTAAATATTCTACACCATATATGTAATAAATGAAAGTTAATGAATCATCGCTTACGAACTGATCCAAGACCATAGATCTTTGCATCGCTGTCATCAACGGAAATACAGCTTTGTATTATTTGCTTAGAAACCACTTCAATACAAATTTCATACATATCTTATGGGAATTCAGTGATTATAATCTTGCCATAGAACCATTCTCAAAAGCCATGAATATTAAAAAGTTCTTCATGACGTTCGTATTCTTCCAAAGATATACCTTCAATGAGGGTATATAGAAGCCTTGGCATAATTAACAATAATTGGCTTTTTTTTTAAATAGAAAAATGATAGGTGTCACTTACTTCACATTACTCCAGTTTGTCTTTGGATAGAGATTTCCTTGGTCCACCAAAGGTTTCTAATTTTTTTTTTATTTGAATTCTATAAATCCGTAGAATTTTAAACAAAAAATTTTTCATCAAATTAATCAAATAGTTATTGAGATATCTTTGATCAAAGTTTGGAGAATTTTAAAACATCTATCACACGATAGATGAGTTCAAATTTTTACCAAAAACTTTGATCAAAGATATCTCAACCACTTAATCAAATTTGATAAAAATTTTTTTTATTAAAGTTGTGTATATTTTATAGCAATTTAAATAAAAAAATTTTACCGAATTTGATCAAATAATAAGATATTTTTGATTAAAGTTTTGTCAAAAAATTTTGGTACAGCTTTTATTTAATAGGTGTTTTATAATTTTTCAAACTTTGACAAAAATATCTTGACAATTAATTTAATCAAATTTAATAATTTTTTTTGAATTTTATAGATTTATAGAATTCAATCATTGAATATGGTTTGGTATTTATTGAGAAAAGTTTTATTAAAATTTTTAATAAAGTTCCTATTTAATACTGTAATAAATATTTGAAAAAATTTTAAAACTTTTAACTATAAATATTTCAATAATTGCCTGATGAAATTTGATAAAATTTTTTTTATTTAAATCTTATAAAATATATAAATATAAGAATAATTCTTTTTATAATATTTATAATAATGATACTATATAAAAAACAATTTAATATAGTGGGTTTTAAAAAAATATAATAGTGATTATAATGCATTATACTTATATAGAGGTCAAAATTAATATGATTAAATTTGTGACTTTATGAGAGGTAACTATATAGAAACTTGACTGTATTTAGTCTTTATATAATAATATACCAATTTTTTTATCAAATGTCTAATATGCATAGTATAATTTTAAAAAAAACTACTCTGTATTTTCGCGAAATAACGCGCAGAGACGTTATTTCGAAATTCGGCCAGGATTAAGCTTAATTCTAGCCAAATTTCGATATTACGCCCCTGCGCGTTATTTCGCGAAAATATGGTATACATATAAGAATATTAACATTATATTTTGATATTACCTATATAAATTATAAAAATATCACAAAGATAATAGGAAATAAACCAATGATAAAGAAATAAAATAAATAATATTTAAGCTTCCTTAGAATTTTCTTTTTACATACTTTTATCCAATTTTCCAGTCAAATTTAATATTGTAATTATAAGAGAAGCAATCATATATAAGGCAATGAATACGCTAGCAACTGTTGATGATGCTTTTGCACTAATCTTTGCACAACAAACTAATGGAAGAAGAACACTAAACCAAACTATATTCGTTATTCTTCCAGGTGTAGATTCCTCATTATGGCTTAAACTAACTATTGCATTGATTGATCTGTAAAGGTTATAACCTATAATAAATAGACTAATAATAATTAAAATCATCAAACAAAAAATTCCAAAGCATGATCCATCTCCCCCATAAAGTTTCCGAATATGTTGTGGAATAGTTTGTTCTGAACTTGATTTGTTTAATTCTGACGCATTAGGAATTAAACCTTTTTCTAGGTTAGCTTCAACTTGCTCATTGACGACAGTTTGGATAACTAATAAACTAGGAGTTATTTCATTTATCGCTACTGAGTCTACTGCATTTGATTGAGTATTAGAAGTTTTTTCCTCTAAAATAATTTGTTCTGGCATGATAAGTAGTTTTTTTAGCAGCAAGAAAAAACAAGCAATTATTCCTGATATTTAAAAAATCGGTGGTTGTATATGCTATATATAATAGATATATACATACAATGCTACCGTATAAAAAACTATAAAAATAGTTTATTTTTACCAAAAAGAATTAAATATTATCGGAGTTAATAACTAATCGAATTACAATTATTACTAAAAGTTACTATTTACGGCA